TGTGTGTGTGTGTGTGTGAATCCTCAGAACATTGTGTTTACTTGGAAAAATGAAAAAATCAATTGATGATGAAAAACAGTTTAAACGAGAATCAATCAACTGATCAATGATCGACTGATGGCTGCAGCTGATTTTACTGATCAGGTTGATTTTCTGATGCAGGATCAACAGATGATGTCATGCTCTGTGATGCAGAGGACAGGTGAGACGAGGACGTGCTGCTGTGATAAAAACGTGAGGACAGGACGTACCTGTGGGATGAGGACCACAGGTCACACTGTAGGACGTCCACAGACTTACGGCCATCAAGAACGTGGCTATGAATCCAAACACCTGAGGAGAAACAAATCATGACATCATAATAATATCTTCATTAATATTAACATCACATCAACAGATAAATATTAATGTCAACTAAATACAAAAGTCATGTGTCCCTCACATTTTATTATTTAACATTTCAGTTCTGTTTCATTTTCATTGTTATTTCCTGTGAGAAATGTTTCCTGTGTGTTAAACAGGAAACTGTCACAGCTGCTGTCTGTGTGGACCTTCTCTTATCAATAAAGTTCTTGTTTTTTAAATACTGAGTGTAGGCGGAGTCAGATTTTCTCATGAAACATGGTTCTCCTTTCCTAACTCCTTTCCTAACTCCTTTCCTGAGTCCTTTCCTAACTCCTTTCCTAACTCCTTTCCTAACTCTGGTGTGATGGAGACACTGATCGGCCGGACGATGAAGGTTAAGATGAAAATGGCGTTCCTTCGATCATGTGTCACAAAGACTGAAAGAAGAGGAGAGTATCGCCAAGGGGCGGGGCTACAGCACAGAGACTAAGGGAAGCTCTGAGGGGCGGAGTTAGGACACGACCTCCATCTTGAATAGTGTTTGTCTGAGATGGTCGTGTTGACTTCACACACCCTCTCTCTCTCTCTCTCTCTCTCTCTCTCTCTCTGAAGACAATGAAGGAAACTGTATTTCAATGTTTACATTTGTCAAATGTGATGTTAAATTATTTTCATCAAACATTTTAAATTCTTATGTATTTTGAGTTTACAGCTGTCGCCATCTTTATGTATCGTTACCATGGTAACACACCTCAGTAAAGCTTGTCACAGAGAATCCAGAGGTCAGAGGTCGTGAACGCCTCCAGAGGGGGACGTTCTTAAGGACTCTTCTCATGGAACAACACCACGTCCATTTAATTGTGCTTCAGTGCTTCATTTTCCCAGGTATCCCAGTGTCTGTGTGTTTACGTACCGATCCGGCCACCAGCGCCGACACGGATCCACTATTCACCGCAGCGATGATGGAGGCGATGAGGATGAGGACGGTGCCAACGGAGTAATGAAAAAACTCCTGAAACAACGGAAACACGACTCTTCAGACAGCTGAAGGTTCAGAGACGGATCAGAACAACAGAGAACCTCTGATAAAACATAAATCAGCTCGTATCTTCAGACAGAATCAGATTAAATTACGCACATCTCCAAAACCTCCTGCACAATAATTGAACATATTCAAGACTTTTCATAGAGATCCTTCAATTATTAGACTTTCTTTGACCCTGTGAACTGTTTCATCTGACAAACTTCACTGACCCTAAAGAAAAACGTTCCTGACGAGTCGATCGTGAACTCAGGATATTTGTCAAACCTCCACACTGAGGATCAGACTTCAGCTGCGCTCACCGTCAGAGGCCAGTTGATGCACGGCATCTTCGCCTGCAGCCTGAACAGGTGCATGAGGAAGAAGATGAGGAAGGCGATGAGGAACCACAGCGTCACCACCTCGAAGAACTGGAACGCCGCCCACCTGGGCCAACCCCGAGCACAGTGGACACACAGGAAGGTGATGAGCAGAGCGAGCTGAGAAAACACAGGGTGCAGAGTTTAAACACAAACTGTGGCAGCTGCAGTTTTTATAAAACTCAGAAGGTTTAGTTTGTCCAGTCTGGTCTCTGTAGAGAGGACCCCGCCCGATGGAAATATAAAGAACTTCAATATAAAGGAGCAGTTCCAGTAAAGAAACAACAATTTGTTCAATTAAGATTATGACACAATAATGACCCCCCCCCCCACCGACAGTTCACACACTGACCCTTTAAAGGTCATTTCACATGTTCCTTCAAACCAGCAGGGTTTGTGTCTCTGAGCGATTCCACTTAAGATGTTTAAACACTGGATCAACTCCAGATTCACTCCAGACTGACTCCAGATTAACTCCAGACTGACTCCAGATTAACACCAGACTGACTCCAGATTAACACCAGACTGACTCCAGATTAACACCAGTTTAACTCCATGTAAACACCAGTTTAATTTCAGATCAACTCCAGATTCACTCCAGATTGACTCCAGATTAACTCCAGACTGACTCCAGATTAACACCAGATCAACTCCAGATTCACTCCAGACTGACTCCAGATTAACTCCAGATTGAGTCCATGTAAACACCAGGTCAACAGAATTGTATTTAGTTCGTGGCAGATTCACCTCAGTTATACCGGGTTATCTCCTGGTTCACACCAGGTTCACACCAGGTATAACTCTGTGCTACCTCTAAGCTCCCGGTTCTCTCCGGGTTCTCTCCGGGTTCTCTCCGGGGTCGGTCCCGGTTCTCTCCGGGGTCGGTCCCGGTTCTCTCCGGTAAAGTGCCGTAACATTGCGGTGGTGTGAGTCTCACCATCTGTCCCATCTTGAGCAGACCCGGGATGGTCCGGGTGTAGCCCGCGTTGAAGACGCTTTCCCCGGAAGTCCTGGTGCTGGTTGTCGTGGTGATGACGGTGTGCGACATGTCTCCGGTGAATCTGCGGGTTCGTTACCGTCAGAACTCGTTAAACTGCGGAAGAGTTACGGTCTCTACTAACGACACACACTAACGGTACCGAACACACCGGATAAACAACCACACTTCCGGAGACACCTTTCACAATAAAAGTCTAAGACCCAGTATTTAGTGAAACAACATT